ACTATAAATAGCGTGATGAAACTTTTCTGTGGTGTGGTAATAAAACACATTATTGATTATTGAACATGATACTTTCCTTTTTGGTAATAAAGTAATTGATCTTTGTTTTTATGTAATTTTATTTTTGTTTTGTTCAGAGCTGGGCAGGGCTTGAGTGCTTTGTGCTTGCGAAAGTGCTTGAAGCACTTTGAGGGCTTGAAAGCCCTGTGCTTCAAGCCCTTTTATAGATTTGTAATTGGGGCTTGCAAAGTCAATTACTTTAGAAAAGTGCTTGGTAATTTGTAATTGAAAAAAGTAATTCAAGCCCTTTCAATGAGCTTCAATTACTTTTAGAGGGCTTGAAGCACTTTTGGGAGCTTGAAGCCCTTTGAAAGGGCTTGAAGCACTTTAAGAGGGCTTGAAGCACTTTTGGGAGCTTGAAGCACTTTGAAAGGGCTTGAAGCACTTTAAAAGGGCTTGAAGCACTTTGAAAGGAATTTGAATTGACCATCACTCAACCTATCCCCCACTTGAAAATTTTCGATCGAGTTTTGTCCCTTAATTTTTTTTTCTATTATTTGAACTTGAACCGTCTTGAACTGTCTTTTCTCTCTTAACAATGGAGGTTTTGGGTTTCAGCTTAGAATGGAATTTAAAAAAAAAATTAATGAACTTATTATTCAAATAAATAATTAATTTATATTGGTAACCTATTTAACTTTATCACTGGATTTTTTCCACTTTTCCCCATTGAACATTTTGAAAACCTTAAAATTGAATTACCATGTAGTACCCCAGAACTACATCTCAAAAAAAAAAAACATACTACTGCTACTCTGTGAAATGTAAAGTTCGTCTCTACTATACCAATTCTGTGTGATGAGTGTACGCGGTAGCTTATGCCACTTTGAGAATTTTATTACAAATTCAAAGTGCTTTACACTTTGAGAATTTTATTACAAATTCAAAGTGCTTTAGGCACATTTAAAGAGCTTCAAGCACATTTAAAGAGCTTGAAGCACATTTAAAGAGCTTGAAGCCCTTTTCAAGGCACCCCAAGCACTTTTGATGTGCTTCAAGCACTTTTCAAATCACTTTGAGGGCTTTGTGCTTGTCAAGCCCAAAGCACTTTGAGGGCTTTGTGCTTGTGAAGCACTTTTGAAAATAAAAAGGAATTTGTGCTTGAAATTGAAGCACTTTGATAGAGGGCTTAGGGCTTAGTGCTTCAAGCCCTTTTACTGAGGGCTTTGCCCAGCTCTGGTTTTGTTTCATAGAAATGCGGGTCAGTTAAGTTAGCCCCCCCCATAGAAAATTTCTGGATGAAAATAATCCCATAATTTTGCTCTCATTTTGCTCCATTTTGCTCCACTAATTTCGATTTTTGCTCCATTACAGTGGAGAGACTATGTGGCCTAATAGGTGGGGGGGCTGAATTAACGCTAGCCCCCCCCCAGTGAAAATTCAGAAATTTGATCATGCTCATTTTGTTCTCCGAGTTTTGCTCCATTATCGGCGAGTTTTGCTCCATTACCAGGAATGACCTAGAGAGCTCCAAAGAATCTCTTCTTGCCCCCCAGTGAAAATTTTGAAACTTGAAATTTCGAGTTAGTCCGAAATACTCCGTCTCCAATTTTACACATTCGAGCGAACATAGTTTCTCAAGCTGCTTTCACTTTCCTCGCCTGTTTCCCCTGAAGCACCTGTAACTGATTTTCAAGCGTTCGAGTGCAAAGCGCATTGAGTATAATGGGCGTGAAATGCTCGTGCTTCGCACATTGCACCCGAAAGCGGCTCTGGAATGAACTAGACAGCTCCCAGGAATCTCTCCTTGCAACACGTGTGAAAATTTGGAAGTTTTGCTCCATTACCTGGAATGACCTACGAGCTCCTAAGAATCTCTTGTAGCCCCCTTACACCAGTTAAAATTTTGTTTGATCATATTCATCCTGTTCTCCGAGTTTCGCTCCGTTTTGCTCCATGATCGGCGAGTTCTGCTCCATTACCTGAGCCTGAGCTGCTTTCGGGTGCCACGCTTTGAGCAATCAGGCGCTCTGAAGCTGCTCTCATTTTCCTCGCCTCTTTTTCCTGATGCACCTGTACCTAACTGATTTTCAAGCATTTGAGTGCAAAGCGCATCGAGTATAATGGCTATGAAGAGAACGGTGGTCCCTGGTTTCACTAGCTTTGTTTGTTTATTCGCACCAACAAGGCACCAACCGACACTTTCTACACCAAACGTGTTTGTTTATCCAAGGTTTATTCCTATATATTTTTTTTTTGTATGGGTCTGACAGAGACAAACTGACTTTTTGGTGCACCTGGTGCAGACTGGTGTAACTTTGGTACAAATAGACAAACAGAGCCCGCAAGAAGCCTTGTTAAGTTAAAACTAATTTCGATCGATCGAAAAAGACAGAAATAGTCTAAGTACGCACTGAATTTACAAATGGGAATCGCTTGCAAAAATAGTTATTTATGTCATAAATAAATACCGATAATCAAGCTCGTTTGCTCGAGCGCCCATGTTCGGAGCAGTGAAATGTGTTCCGAATGATTTTATATTGACATGACAGTGCAAATCGATGAGACAAAGATGGCGCCTATTTTCAAGTGAAAAAATTTGACAGACGTCGTAAATTATTGGGACAGCCTTTTATTTTTCCGAAATAGCTATTTATGGCGGTGATCTTTTTTTAACTGTCAGTAATGTACCCAGTGACTTTTGGTGACGATGGTATTTGCTGCAAATCCGTTCCAAAATCAAAATTCAGTTTACTGATTTACTGACTTGGCAAGCTTTTGAAATCCACAATGACATATGCGCATTTTCACCGATGTAATGCTGTCCTTGTCATTTGACAGCAGCAAAACAAGGATAGGTTACTCCTCATCAAGAGAAATGCGCATAAGCAATTGGTGAATTCAAAAACTTGGCCTTCCTTCAAGAACCCTAAATCTTAATAGAATGGCTTATCTAGCTGAAAGTGTCTGCCATGTCCACGCGAAAATTCTCCACCATTTGTGTCATTTTGACGTCAATGTAGACCTCAAGACTTCAGTGACGTCACGACTAGTCGAAAAGCGAACGTATGCCTTATGCCTCATTCTCACTTGTGCGATATTCGCTCTTCTTTTGACATTGCTTCGACAATTTGACGTTTTATGCGTGTATCAAACGTCAAATTGTCGAAGCAATGTCAAAAAAGAGAGAATTTTGCGCAAGTGAGGCTTTATGGGGAAAAGCCATCCTGTTGGTTGAGGGTTGTTGGCCTTCCTTTATCCAATTTTCTTGCTCTTTCTTTCTGTTCCAAACCGTTCCTTGTTCACTTTGGAGCAGAACGAGTTTATCTGACGGCCGTTCCCATATTACATTAGTTGTATTCCTTTCACACCTAGGAGGAGCTCCGGGGCGTTACGCGCTTATTCCTTTCGAAAAGTGTTTGTTGCACCCCGCATCTTTCCCTTTAAAATCATGTTGACTAACACCGGAGGGAGTAACTATCGAGTGTTCCAAACTCTTGAAAGGAATACAACTATTATGAGTATAGTCCGCCGCAAGAAGTGCGACCGCGAACACACACAACTCCTACGCATTATTTGTTGTCCTTTTCTAGTCAACAGGCTATTAAGTATATCTCGATCGTTTTGATAGGCTTGCTAGGTTCATAAAATCTGTCGCTATGAGTTCTGTCGCATTGGCTTCCTCTTCCCCTTCAGAGGTCGTCCGTCATGATCTGTGCTGTGGACTTCAACAAAGGCGGAACACTCTTTCTCATGGAAACGCTGCTCCCCTGTTTCAAGAATAAGGACCCTAGAGGTCATTCCAAGTAATGGAGCAAAACTCGCCGATCATGGAGCAAAATGGAGCAAAGCTCGGAAAACAAAATGCGCATATAAAAACTCCAAAAAAAACCCGTGTTGCTAGGAGATATTCCTCGTAGCTGTGTAGTTTATTCTAGAGTCGCTTTCATGTGCAGTGTGCGAAGCACCTGGAGCATTTCACGCCCATTATACTCAATGCGTCTTGCACGCGAACGTTTGAAAATCAGTTACAGGTGCATCAAGGGAAACAGGCGAGGAAAGTGAGAGCAGCTTGAGAGCGCCAAACTCTGTTCGCCCGAATGTGTAAAATTCTAGCCGGAGTACTTCGGCCTAATTCGAGAGTGTTGAGCGCTCAAAGCGTGGCACCCGGAAGCGGCTCGTCATGGAGCGAGTCATGGAGCAAAACGAGCTGATCATGGTGCAAAATAGAGCAAGACTCGGAGAACAAAATGAATATGATCAAATTTCAGAATTTTCACTGACCCTAGAAATGCCTCAGTTGAAAAATTCTGAAAATTTGAATCCCTGAAAAAGAGAATTAAACCGGAACTTTACAAGTTTTTCCTGTAGGTAGGTAGGTACTCTTTGTTAATTTCAATCCGATCTGAACGAACGTAATTAGGCTGAATATAGAGCCAATTAAATTCTCTATAAAGAGAAAAAGCGAGAGAAAAAGCGTTGGAAAAGTTTTTTAGTTACTAAAATCATAATATCATTCCCAGACTAATTAGGATACAATTCAGATAAATTTATAATCTTATGTCGTCAATTTCTTAATCCAACAAAATCTTTCAATGGATGAATTATTTAAATAATAATCAATCCATGTACAAATTTACTTATTGTTGATTGGAATTAAAAAAAAAAAAAAAAAGATTCTTTCGTATAGAAATAAATACACCCCCTAAGGTGAAATTGAAGCTGAATTTCCGGATTAAAAATAACCCCACGATTCTATTGTTACACCGTCAATTTTGCTACATAAAGTAAACCTGAAGATCGTGGGAGAGTGCGATTTTTCCTCTATTGTTGCAAAAGTTATGAGGCATTTTGCAAATAGATTTCGTGATAAAAATAAACTTAAGTATAAGGTGCGTCAAATATCTCCATAAATATAAAACTTGTGTTTGTTTTTTGATAATGTTTTATAATAATCATAGCGAGTCAATAAAAATTTATATTTATTATTCATGTTTCAGTGGACGTACTAGTCGATGGAAAACCAATTAGACTGGAAATCTGTGATACAGCCGGAGAGGTAAGGAAAATTTAAATACAATTTTGACTAAAATAACAAACAATAAATCGGTCAATTATCCTCTCCAATTACGAAGCGAGTCTATTTTTGCCCACTCAATGACAAAACAAAAATGAATCATCCATTTGCATTTACACTGCTAGAACAAACAAATTATTACCCCCCGGTGATATAGGACTAGTTATAATTATTTTATTATGAGCAGTGTATATACTTTAATACAGTTAACTTAAAATAGCAGCAAAGTTCTCTTTGTTCAAAAGAGCAAGTGTTACAACGACCACCGACGTGCATGTGTATTTCTTATGAAGCTCAATTTATTTTTACTTGTGGATTACGAATATAATTATTATTGGACAACAAAGGAGTTTGAAACTTTCTCATGTTTATATTGTTTTGACTCCAATAATCATTACTTTTCCTAATTATTTATTGTTTTTTGAAAAGAGACCTTATCTGTATACAATAAATCAAAACGAGAATACCTAATAATTTTCCTGGTTATCTTTTCGGCATCTTTCAAAAAGGAGAAAGTTTATGGAATCTTCAATGGAAATATTTATGGTATTTGCCTATAATACTGTTATCTTAATTTTTATATTTTCTTGCTATTTTTACGCTTTCTCGATAATTTCTTCTAAATTATAATGACACACCTTTTATTGATGACAATAATAACAATCAAATAGTATTGGGGATTTTCACTTTATGACGGGGATACTTATCGGATCATTGTATAGAAATAATGTTATGATTTGTTGTACAAATACATAAATAATTGTATACTTTTTGCAGTTAATATCTCAAATTTCAAAAACAATTTAACATCAAAATTCTCTATAAATCTGTGCTAAATTGAGTTTGATATCTCAAGTTGAATTTTAATTTAAATTCAATCAAAAACTTCAAACTCAATTTTCTCAAACTTGAAAATATTTTAAAATATAGGTTTTTTTAGAGCTTAACACGATTGTATTTCTGGAATTATAGGTTCAAATGAGCTGAAATTTTCAGGAATTGTAGTCCCTTGATACCGATAAAATTCCGAGGGGTCGACACCTCCTGACAGTAGGTGTACAAATCAGTTCACATTACCTACAATACCTAAACAATACCGTCATAGGTCTGTAAAAATACCATGTAGGTATTGTTACAATACCTTAAATGACACAATACTTCCAAAATAGCTCTACAGTACTGACAATACTGAAACAATACCAGAAATCTGTCAAAAATACTTTACAGGATCTCTACAAGTACTCACAATACCCGCCGACAATACTGATAATACCTTGACAATACTAAAAGAATAAATCGGGTTACAAGATTTTGAAAGCGTCGCACAACATGACAGGCCAAGTGGCAGGAAGGTGCATTTATTCGCAAATTCGCAATAAAATAAGTGAAGTCTCATATTGGAGTGAGTTAAAGTTTTGTGAAAATGTACAGTCATGAGCACAAAAAATGGGACACCCGATTTTTCCTATTGTAAAACCGGCTCACCAGCTAAACCGTTGGCGATGATAGGGATTGTTAAATTTGACAAAAAATCCATTGTACAGGAAAGACTGATTTACCCAAAATAGCGAAAAATCACAAGACCTGTCAGTCGGGTGTCCCAGTTTTAATGCTCACGACTGTTATCTATTCACAATCTGTAATCCAAAGGTACAGGTGAAATTTATCACCTTTTAATGCTATTTGATAGAGAAAGGTGATAAATTTACCTGTACGTGTATTCGTGTATTTTATCGTGTAGCTACTACAGAAAGAAACACAGAAGTGTCGAACAAAAATATTAGTCGTGTATTTGACCTTAAAAAAATCGTGTATCAATCCACGAAACAGGACTTGCTCTAATTTTGATGTATAGCAAAGCTGTGATTTAATCTTGTATTGCATTACCACCAACTGCGCAATTGCTAATTCTCAACCTCACTTTTAAAAAAATATATATATTTTTCCTGGAATTCGGGGAAAGTCGAGGGAAAAATACATTTATTATCTATTAGTTTGTTTCGAGGTTTGTTTTTAAAAAGTGCTTGGATGGAATTTGGAATTGTGGGCGCTGTGGTTTGTTAGCGAAATTAATAAAATAATGGATGCACCTCATCAAAATTTATGACCTTGGTTGTCGCAATTTTGCCGCATCAACTTCGTTTTACTCTGAAATACCAATTGACAAGAATCTTAATACCAAAAAACCAAAATTCCATTAATCCAATTTTATAGCAAGTATACTTAAATTATATCCCAACTATGTATCAATCCCCAACTCGTTAAAAACTGACAACAAATCTCAGATTGTTAAAATCAATGACCTAAGATTTGCGGAACGCAGCTTATCTGTTTTATGTTTTTTTTTTTTCTGTTATATGATCCGACAGCATTCTATCTCTTTTTAACTAGGGTTAAACAAAAGAGAGAATGTACTCTAAGCCCGGAATTACAGAAGCTCTGCAACACCAAAATACAAATGCAGGACCTGCAAGTCTGATTTTTCGTATTGCAGAAGCAGAATGCATTTGCAGATCGCCTGTAAAGGACCCCGCAATATTTAAATGGAAATTGGTTACCCGTGATATTTGGATGAAATTTAAATATGTTATTGAGGATGCCGTAAGCAACATTTTTTACCATGGGTACAACCCTGTATATATGACAGGTGAGGCGTGGTTAGCTGTCAAATATTGGAATCTTATATCCAAAAGCAGAGTAACTATGGCAGATTTTGATGAACAAAAAATCTATTTCTACTTAAGTCGACCAAGTTAAGTCGAAAAATGTCAACCATTTTAACACCTGTCAAAACCCTGCCAAACGGCCGCCCTCGTCTTTTCCAGTTTTCAATATTTTATGTTGTCATTTGACATTTTTAACTTATATGTAAATTCTAAATTCAAAAATTGAAAAAAAAAATGACAGAACTGTCAAAACCTGTCATTTGTTTTAGTAGGAAAAAATACTCTAATCTAGTTCTTTCTCGTTTAAAGGTAGTTTATTGGTGATAAAACATTGAACAAAGTTCATGCATGTCACATTTTGACAGCTGTCATTTTTTTTTTCAATTTTTGAATTCAGAATTTACATATAAGTTAAAAATGTCAAACGACAACATAAAATATTGAAAACTGGAAAAGATGAGTGCTGCCGTTTGGCAGGGTTTTGACAAATGTTAAAACGGTTGACATTTTTCGACTTAACCTAGTCGACTTAGCCCGGAATTACAGAAGCTCTGCAACACCAAGATACAAATGCAGGACCTGCAAGTCTGACTTTTCATATTACAGAAGCAGAACGCATTTGCAAGTCGCCTGCAAATTTGCGTATGGTGAAACGGACCCGCAAGTCCTTGCAATCACTTTGGCAACTTTGACATTTGAATATGGTAAATCAGTAGCGCCCAAACACTTTTTCCAATAAATATGACGAAATTGCAGATTTTCTCTATAATTTGCTCGTTTCTGCAAATAGAGCACATATGCAAGTCGGCCATATTTGCAGAACTGCAAATTTGCAGATGCAAATATACTGTAATTTGGCCCTTAGTAGAAATAGATTTTTTGTTCATCGAAATCTGCCATAATTACTCTGCTTTTGGATATCAGATTCCAATATTTGACAGCTAACCACGCCTCACCTGTCATATATACAGGGTTGTGCCCATGTTACTTACGGTATCCCCAATAACATATTTAAATTTCATCCAAATATCACGGGTAACCAATTTCCATTTAAATATTGCGGGGTCCTTTGCGAATGTTGAAACGGTCCCGTTACAGTGGCTAAATAAACCTTTACATACAGTGGCAACAATAGAGGTCACGCCGCCATCTTGTTGCCAACCTCTTGTTACTTTTAAATATTAAGTTATAGGATTTGAATGGACATCTATCATAAAAAATTGAAATCGACGTATTTGATGACCATTAGGGCCATCAAATACGTTGTTTTTCATGATTTATGATGGATGTTCACCTAAATCCCATATATTCATATTTAAAAGTAACAAGAGGTTGGGAACAAGATGGCGGCGTTTTCAATGTAAATATATGGGATTTTAGAACCAATCAAAAATAAGACAGCAATTGTCGCCACTGTGGTAATAGAGTCACTGTAGGTCCCGTAAAGTCCTTGCAATCACTTTGACAACTTTGACATTTAAAACGGGTGAATCAGTAGCGCCCAAAAACTTTTTTTCCATAAATATGACGGAATTGCAGATTTTTTTCTGTAATTTGCTCGTTGCTGTAAATAGAGCACATATGCAAGTCAGCCATATTTGCAGAACTGCAAATTTGCAGATGCAAATCATTATATAATTAACTATAGTTGAACGTGGTTGAACTAAATCGAAGCGGCAGTTATGACATAACTGGTCATTTTCATTACAACCTATTAAGTCCTCCGTGCATGCGCATTGGTCCTGGTAGGGCGTTTCAACCAATAGGAAAGCTGGATTCCCAGCTAATGTTTGTTAACAATTTAAATTTAGGTTATTTTGGCAAGAAAGTTGGTAGCACTGAAATTTAATGTATATTTACACCAAAAAATACCTAGCTAATCTCGTCAAGAAAATCATGAATAAATACTAATTTTTATACATGTAGAAATACACGTAAAAATACACATATGTAAAACGCGAGGGGCGGCTCACTCCCGAAATCGCTGTACATTTTCATCCGAAATCCCGTGAAATTACTTCGAAATCCTTTGGAAATCCCGAAATCCATTCGAAATCGCGAAGAGCGAAATTCTATCCAAAATTAGGGTTTCCATAAAGGTTTTTCGGAATCCAGGACCTAGGAGTCAAGAAATCCGGACAAAATCCGGATTTCGTCGATAAAATTTTTTAAAAGGACTAGCTAATGACCCGCTGCGTTGCCAGCGTGTAAATACATTTTGAAATAATACACTTCTTTTCAAATTTTGTTGTTGATTTTCTATTTAATTTTTTTTTTTTTAATCTGATATCAGAGTCGCTTGCCAGTGAGTTCAGT